TGTTGTTAATTTATCATTTAATTTATTTATTACTGTATTTTTTTTTTCAAAAATACTGTGAACCAGCAGTCAAAAGTGCATTTCAAATTTATCTATTTATGCGTCTAATATAAACGGCCACAACAATTCCCTTTTTTCGTTGCAATTTTAGAACAATTAGCGGATACGCAAAAAACAGTAGCAGAAATAACAGAAACAACAAAAAAATAAAAATAAATGTCATTTTGATCACTGACATTCTTTTACATTTTGTTATTTTTTGGCCTTTGTCTTGTTGTAGTAGTGATGAAAAAAACTTCTATACCTTAATCTGTTGTTTACACGGAAGAAGAAGAAACGAAGTGAAAATAGTAAAAAAATACTTGAAGGGAAAAAAGTCAAAAAATCTTTCTGTTTGTGCAAACCACGCTCAAGTTTTGTTACTGTTTTTTTCTTACCTGAAAGGCATAAAAAAAACAATGTTAAAAAAAATTTTTTTTAGGGCTCAATTATATTTATAAATTGACACAATGGATAGCTGTGAGAGGAGAAAAAAGAGAATGAAAAAGCCAACCAAACAACGAATGTTAAAAGAGAGAAGATAGCTGAGGATTATGAGGAACACGGGCAAAGCATATGGAGTTTTACCAATCCGGGCAGTTGTTGTAAGCAGATACCGAGCATCTGGTCGACCGCCACCAGATGCAGTATCGGCGTTTAATCCACTACTATCCGCAACAGTCTTTCTGTTCATCGCTCTGCTACTGCACCAGTGGATGGCGTCCGGAAAAATTTGTTTTTCACCGAATGAAAATATTGCAGACATACGATATAAATACGTAATTTGTGGCTATCGTAGAATTCATGCTAACAGTAAGGGTAAACTGTTCCCAGCAATTGATTGATGCTCGTTTGGTCGGTGTATCAGCGGCCAAAAAACACTTTCCTGCTGTTGCAGAGCAGTTTAGTGAGCAAATCGAACAGACGCTACGAAGATACTTCAATGTCCCTACTAACCGTCTGTACAATTTGGAGGAGATGGCCGGCAACGCCAGTTTTGAGGTCTTTTGTTGTATGTTCCTTTTGGCATCCTCATTGCCTCAACGTATTTTTCGCCGTTCACTTCGGTTACAACATACGAACTGCCCACGCTTGTGGGGGAGTAAGGGTGAGAACGGAGCAGAACTAAATAAGAGTTAAACAAGAAATTGACCAGTTTCATGAATAACGTTTGGGTGTTTGTCTGTCGGAATTTGAAACTTTTACCTCCATTTTTAGTTCTAAAAAAACTGTGTTACAGGAAATAGAACTGAAGAGCAAAAAAAATTGTATTTTCTCTCATGACAGTAAGTAATACGCCAAAATATGGATCCATAGTTATAGAGTATCATCAAACTGTAAACATGAATTTTTGGTCAGTGAGTTTTGTGAGAAAAATTGTGAAATATCATGAAAAAACTGTTTTTGATAATAAGTAACAAAATTGAAGAAAAGAACCAAATGCTTTCTAAAGAATTCATAAAGATGTTCAAAAAGAAACCAGACATTTGAAGAGAAAATTTGAAAACTTTTGCTTATCATAAAATCTGACTAAAAATCATAATTTTGTGGACGGTAGAATAATTGTTGCAAGTTATTGAAGAAAACAGTGGTTTAAACGGATTGTCACTGTAACAGTTTAAAACAAAGAGAAGGATCTTGAAAAAATTGAAAATTTCTTTCCAGAGTAATGGGGAAAATTTTGATGTCTTTCGTGATAACTAATTTTTTTCTAATTTTGAAAGAACAGTTTTGCTTTATCGATTTTTTGTTAACAAGAAAAAGTTTCCGCTTAATTACTCAAAATGGTACTGGTTTTTAGGCTTCGACTACCTAAATATAAAATAATTTTTACATTGTTTTTGAATACAGATGAAGCGTTATTACCGTGCAACGAGAATCTGATTTGGTTCAGTATCATCTACAAAATACTAAACACAATCTGATAAATAGACCAGTAGTTGCACTTAAGTTCCACAGTTCCTAAACATTGCATCTTTTGAACAATAAGTGAAACTAAAATTTGTGTTGCAAAAAACACAAAAATTTACAATATCAACAATTTTTTTTTTAATTTTGAAGTGGCAAATTTTAGTCATTTTATATTTATCATTAAATGAATAAACCGCTAAAATTTTAAAAAATAATACCAAATCAGTTTAATTTTACACATTTATGTATAAAAAACTTATACGGTTAGTTTTACTTATTTATTTACATATTTTTCTTGCCGCAATTACTACAGATAATTTCGAAAGTGAGGAAAAAGAACTGCATTGTCATGCGGAATATGAACTTCAGTACTGAAATGTTTTGAAAGGTTGATGCCACCAGTATTTTACTCAAACTTTATCGTTTATTTATTAAAAAATTTCGAAAGAAAAGTGTATATATATAAAGATACTTTTTCTTACCTAATTTACCATACACCACTTTTACAAATTACTCTACCAAAAAATAGCATAAATAAGCTACCATTCATAGTTATTTCTCCTTGTTCAAATTTTTTCCATTCGAAGTATTTACATGCAAAATTGATACCACTTTAATAAACGACCGGTGTGTACCACTTATTCTCTCCTCACAGACCAAAGTCAGTAATTTCGAATAACTGTTCAAAAGAGTAACTGGACGAAACATGACCGCTGAACAACATTTGGTTCTCTTAACTTCAGCATACTTTAATCTAATGCTTACAGTTTGAGTGATTTTAGAACAGTTTACATAAGCTATCAGTAATTTAAGCATTATCAGTTTTCCGGTGTATCACTTTACTGAAAAATTTACGTGTTTGCCCTGTTCTTTGCTAACAGATACAACTGCAATCTACAGTTCTTCAGACGTTGACTTTTTGATAACAAAAAAGAAACTTAAGAATATTTATAAACATTCAACTGGAACATTAACGATCTAAAATTAAAAATCAGGAATCTCTAGCGGTGTTCGACGCGACAAAACTTTAGGGTATTTCAGTTTTATTTTTATTCTACTTATTTAAAATTTTCAAAAGATAGTGAGCTATGTAAAAGTATAGTTGTCAAGCAATAATAATTGCTTGTTGAAGATCTATATCTGTACAAAATTGTGTAAATAGCCATCTTAAATTTCAGTGACATATGAACATATAAGAAACAACGCTGGTGACCAGCTTTTATTGATATTATCACTGCAGCGAAAATAACCGCAAACTATACACGTATCTCTTTAGCTAAACAGATCAGTTTATAAATAACAGAGCTACAAATCAGCTAAATTTGAAACCGTTTTTTTCTTATCCAGTCTTAATTTTATCCACTGGCTAGTTAGTAATCGTTTGTATGGCAAATATATCACCAGTCAAAGTAAATAGAGAAGAAAAGGTCTAGACGACGACTCATACAACAGTACTTTAATAATCTCCAAACGTCAACTAAAAAAAGTCATTAAAACCACTCAATCGTTGTAATACAAATTTTTCCAAAAACCTTCGACACGTACCTAGAATTTCAGTCTATTTAGTAGAGTAATTTAAACAAATATTTAACGAAAAATTAATTTTTGTATAAGCTATAAAAATATAGAGACAGTTTATTCCACTGCAAACAACTTCTATTTTAACAATTTAAAAACACTGTAACGCTTTTGAGAAATCATCAGCTGTTATCAACGAGTGTTATCGCCTTCCCCGTCAGCACCGTTTTCACCGAGCATTGCCGAATATCCAATTATTTTAGTGCGCTCTGCATAAAGGTAGTCAGTATGATCGCTCTTTTTTATATTAGTCGATCCAATTGGAGTCCAGGAACCGTCGCTGCCGCTGTTAACACTGCTATGCAATTCTGAAGTTAGCCTGAAGTTTACCAATTCATGACCTAATACTGAAGGACTTCTCAGCGAACGAGTTTTTTGTACTAGACCACAACTGAAAAATAATAGCAATTACTTAAGCGGGTTAGCATCACTCTTTGTTTTAGAATTTTCTACTTAGCAGTCAAACAAAATATTTATTGTTTACAGCAGTATAGTACAGCACAAAAAAAATTTTTGTTATCAAAAGCCATACTTGCGTCTTTGGTTCTTCTTGTAACACTGCTTTGGAAATCCAAAAATATTCGCAACTGAGAGGAAAAAGTTGTTTTTTTGGGAACGAAAGAAACACGAACAGATATGGCTTTTGACTTCTACTAATGTGCTTGCTGCACTATCTGAATTTGAAGTACAAAAATTCCTGAAAAAATTTTTAAAAAACGAGTCACACTTTGCAAAAAATGCTTAGAGAAAAAGTATTGACCAAAAGCAGAAAATTTAGTAATGGAAAATGGTTTTGTAACTTTGAATTGGTAACAATAAGTCTTAATCGAGAAATTTTTTAAAAGCATTCAACAACTGTTTGAAACTTTCTGTCATAAAAAATTTCTAAAAATTGTGTAGAAACTGTCATAATGTTTACCTAGATTGCTCAGTGTGGTCACATTTGTAGCTGTACAACGGGCGATTACCTAGTGGCATCTTAATCAACAGTTTCTTGATTGTTATTCGATATGGTGCATAAATTATTGCTGTTATCAGAGGATTCACAATCTAAAAAATTATATAAATACGTAAAAAAAATGAAATACTTGACTGTTAAATATCTTTAATAAGACCAGTGAAATTGTAAAATAATACCTGTTCCAGTTAAAAATGGAAAAAGGCAGAAGCTGGTTATGAAAGTTTCAGGTTTCACGGTCTTTCAAACAGTCACACAAGCTTAACTGCAGGAATTGCCTTACTTAGCGCTTGTTACGGTTACTATTGGTTTCACAATTTTTGTTTACAAAGTTTTGATTTATATTTCTAATACTTTAACAGTAAAATTGGTGTTGTGGACTAAATAATGAAGTCACTTCAAAATGCAGCCAATCAGAGTTGTAAAATGTGACTTGACGAGAGTGGGGTTCGAACCCACGCCTCCGGAGAGACTGGTGCCTAAAACCAGCGCCTTAGACCACTCGGCCATCTCGCCGCCACCTAGTGGCCTCTTAGTATGCATACAAATTAGAGTGTTCTTTAGTAAGCACCTCCCTTGATCATAAATTTATGAACTAAACCACAATTAGTCCATCAAAAGAGTTTAATAAACCAACCGGATTTATAGTTAGCAAATACACCAAGGGCCAAGCAAACCAGTTTAGCATCATTTTTTGATCACAATCGTAGGCTTCCCATTCCTTCATTAACTGTAATCGTACCAGGTTGAAGATTCGATAAGGTAGTAAACTGAATGATGTCCATGCCGTAGTGGCAAATATGAAGACTAATGACTTCATCTGCAAATCTCTATCGTGCAGTACGTTACTATGCAGGTCTCTGTTTAATATTCTGTTATTAGTAGATTTTCATTTAATAGCTTTATGAAAAAAACCTTGTTTTTAAAAGTTGGAGTGTCTAAATTTTCGCCTATGTTAACTGGAGCATGCCGTTTTTGCCGGGTTAAACGAAACAGATATCCACTGACGAACATTGAAGATGTTACTGGCAGAACACAAAATAAGACCATAAAAGTTTGGTAAAAATAGTTTTGCCCGTCACTCATCTAAAAATGTCCATGTTCTTGTTTTGCAGCAGTTTTACAGCGCATTCTCAAGGGGAAAAAAAAAAGCAGAACTATTTATGCCCAATGTTACTTGAAAAATAATAGAAAGCAGAGAGAAAGACAATGACAGAAAGGGAGAAGCAGTAAGAATAAGCTGAGAACCGGATTAGACAAAGAACAACAGCAGGAAGATTGTTAGAATTAAGTTAGTTAGAAATTTTTGGAAATTTAATTATAAAAAACTGAAAAATCTGAGAAATACTCGATATATTTAAGCGCATTTATGCAACGAATACACTATCTTTTCAAACCTTAGAATAGATCTTGACGATTACCTAGCAGTTAGGTTGTTTAAACTTATGTTCCTCTTCAACCTCACCTCTTTCGAAGAATTTTGTGCTGTTAAAGAAAACAAATAAAATAAATAAAAATTTTTCTTTACAGAATAAATTAATTTTGTAAAACTAGCTTGTAACTGACACTTCTCTTCATTTACTTATTCTCCAAAAATCTTAAGCTTTAAGGTATTGACATTTCAGGACATTTATAACGTGCAATTTTCACAACTAGCAAAATTTTGATTACTCACAGCAAGCGCGCAGATCTCCGTCACTGAGATAATTTGTTTAATCCATCCATAAGAAACAAATCTGAAAAACACCGTCACCGTTGACAAATTAGGTACAATACGATTTTTTTTCTCCAGAGAGTGTTATCCATAAATAATTTCGTTGATTCGTCTAGACATTTTTTAACTTTTTTTGTTCAATTGACATTTCAGTATTACTGTATTGCATAGTTATTTAAGTATAATTACCTGGCAAAAACTTCTTCTCTAACATCTTTGTCTTATTATTTATAACATTTGAAACACGGAAAAACACGGAATGATTTTTAGTTTTTCAATAAGGTAGACAAGAATTTTTGGTTTTCTTTTTCTTCTAGAAGGTTGTGCAGAAAAATGAAAAAACTGTTCGATGTTAGTTGAATGGAAATAAAGCTACAACAAACACGAGTGACATGGTCCAAATAAGAACACAAAATGCGGCAGCTCTAGTTTTTGACATAGTGCGATCATAGCTTAATGGCCACTGAAAATAGATAAGCTTGTCTACGTTAAGCATTGTTAGTGACAAGCCGGAAACACCTAGACCAAGCCAGTTACAAAAATGTATCACAGCACACAAATGCACATGTCGTAAGACATTATGACGGCGTGTCAGGAATTCTTGAGGATGGCAGAACACTAAAATTATACGTAACGGTTAAGAAATTATAATCTTTATTTCTATGACATATATTTGCAAAAAACAAAAATTTTTTTTGTTTTGAGATTTATTACGGTATATTTCGTTTACTGTATTTATTTTTTCTCTTTCCTTTTCAAAACCAAAAAACATCGAAGTTTTCTATTAATTTTACTTCTTCTTTTTCTTTTTTTTTTTTTGCTAAAACTGAATCAGTTAAAAAAGGTTGTTTTTGCACTGTCATTTTCTAAAATCAAAAATGACACCTGTTAAAAGCAGGTCACCTAACGTCATACTTATAATGAATATGTGCATGGTGTCACCAGATTTTTTAAACAGTCTAACAGCACAATAGATGACAATTACGTTGAATACGGTGGCTGCCATGCATGCGGCCAATAACATTTCATCTACCTAAACTTTATTTTGGTTATGTTCAACCGATTTTAATAAAACAAGTCATTTTTTTAACTTTTAACGTTGTTTATTCTTTCATTTTAACAGTTTGAAGACTATTGAGATAAGTTTATCATAGCTGTTACAGTTACCAACTGTTAGGCAAAGTAATCTGTTTATAATGTACACAATTTTGTTCAACTTACAATATATTGAAATGTTTGGAAAGCCGCTGTTTCCATACACTTGTTACCCGTACCATTGTCGACATCATTAGCCTGTTGGCTATCGTAGAAGTCTTCCATAATGTGGAGCTAACTTTCTGGATTCATCGTTCGTTAAATCTTTGTCGTTTAACTTTTACTAGTAAGGGTAGGCTGAAATGAGTAATAAACAAACCGTTACTGGTTGCGTAATGACTGTTAGATTTCAACAAGTTAAATTAGCAAGAAGAAAATTTTTTTTATTGCTCGGATTCACACTTTTCATCTTATTTTTATTAATTATCTAAATGTATGAAAGGTTTTTTATTTTGTGCTGTTTAACTGTGAAACTGCTTTCGCTGTTCGATACAGAGAAGAATAAACAAAAATATTTTTAACACATGAAAAGATGACTTCTGAAATTGTTGATTATATTTACATGTAGAAGATGCAGCAAGAGAAACTGAGACTGTAATAGAAAAGAATATGTTTTAAATGTTGCAGAAACTTTTAAAATCAGCATGTTTTTTGATTGCCAAGCTAATGTTAAAAAAACTAGAAGATCATAATTTTTGTAGGTTAAAAATGCTTATTTTCTTGTTTTCTAATACCGTTGCAAATTCCCGGTTTTTCCTCTTGTTTTTAACCGCTGTCATAGGTGACAAAACTAAGAAAAGTATATAAACTTTATTAGTCGGTATATTACCGAAATAAAAATTGATTTTGCTGTAGAAAAAAAAATCATTTTTTGCTTTTCTTTTTTTCCATAAATATTCTGTGGGTATCACTGTCAAATAAAGCGTACAACCTGCCAAATGTCAAAAACTGATAATATTAAAAACCAGAAGTAATAGTAACGACATCAAACAGAGCAATAACGGTGAAAAAAATTGCAGCGTTGAAGCTAAAGAATAAAAAGTTAAAGAAAGAAGATTTTAATAAAAAATGACAACAAATAAGAAAACTTTTTGACTTTAGTTTAAAAAATGTCGTCAGTTAGGCAAAACTAGAAAAAATAGAGATTTAAAAAGAGAAATCTGTCTTTAAAAAGAGACTGAAGAAAACTGCTTGTTGATTTAACCAAAAAGTGTTGCCGATAGAGCATCGGAAAGGGCAATGTTGGTGGGAAGTGGAAAACTACATCTTAGTTATACTAATGCGCATATTAGAAGGAATCCACCTCCAATGAGGCTAATATTGAATCGTTAAATCAGAGCTAATTTGGTATGGATTCATCGTCCGAAAATCTTATCTGAAACAAATATCATAAACAACACTTCTTTGTAGACATTCTATTACTGTATTTCTCTGTCTCAAATCTTCCCAACTTCATTTACGCCATTTGTCGATAAGAACAGCAATTACCATTACTGCTGTGTCTAATATTTGCAACTAAACGATTTTATAAACCACAGATTTGTATTAGATAAGTTTATTAAGTGATTAGCAAACGTCTGTTTAGTCAAGGATTGTAAATTAGTTATGCGAAAAAAAAAATCTGAATTTTTTTAGTAATGTACCAAAGAGCAGTTAATATTCATATTGAAAACATAAATAGAATACGGAATTTTGCCAGTTGCAAGTGCTAAAACGATCAAGCCGATGATAGTCTAAAACTCAGATTTTTTTGCGTTAAAATTTATAGCACAATTATATACTCAAAAGAAAGACTATTTTGACTTATTATTTTTTTGGAAGAGAAGCTTTATTATTGTCTCCTTCTTATTTTTCTTTACTAGAATAATTTCTTACAATAGTATTAAAAAAACTGAACTTTACCAACGCTGAAAAAAACAACAGAACAGTGTTATTTCGACTGTTGCTTCTGAATTTTTTCAGAACAGTCACTGCATTTTTCAAGTATATTACAGAATCAGATATAAATAAAGCATTAATACTGCTATAACGATTGTTAATGTTTCTGATGCATTCGTTGCATTAAATATCGTTCTTCAAAATATGTAACTTTGTAAATGAGGAGTTCAAAATATGTGTCTTTGCAAATGAGTAAACTTCTCATGGCTGATTTATAAACTAGAAACTTTCATAATAAAATTTTCAGACTTGCATTTATTTAATCTAATCAAAACTTTGACAGTAACACATAGTCAGAAATAAGTTGGAAAAAGCATGTTGGCAATTCATATCATGTGGCATTCATTCAACCGCTCAGACTTTCCTTACTTTTTTACCGACTTGTAAGACTTGGAACCCAACTAGAAAATCAAAAAAGAGTGCCTCAAAAACTGCACTACGAGCAGTGTCAAGTTATTCTAAAGTGCTGAAGAAAATGCGATTTTTTCAAATATTTTAAAGACCTGTAACATTATTGGTTTTTATAAATTATTAACTTTTTTACTTTATTTGAGAATCTATCTTCCGGAAATCCAGAAATGTAGTAAAATAGATATATTAAAGAAATAGACAAAATAATGAAGTGAAACGCAAAATTTAAAACGTCGTGTTCAAAAACCGTACTATTTCAAACTTTTCAAAAAAGATGATTAAAAATGTTTTGCTGCTGACTGATCTAAATAAGTTTTTCGAGAAATATTGTCATCATAACTACTTCTTTAATAAATATCTTTTTATTTGGTCGGTAAACTCACTTGACTCAAATAATTCACATGCAATGCTGGTTGCTGACTGCGAATACTGTTTTACTACTATCTTCCCATTAATTTGTGGTATAATGCAGTGAGGTTTTTAAGCGTCTTAGACTGGCAATCGTACGAAAACGCAGTATCAGAAGAGTCCTTTTCTTTCTCGTATTCTTTTTTAGACACGAAGACTACTGATATCTTAGTCAATAAATATTGTTGGCAGTTAAAATTTGGTCTGAAAATATCATTCACAGACTAGCTGTCGCTATTGACCTTCAACACGTGGTACCGCGTAGAAGTGTCAGTCTGTTGAGAATCCAAAGTGTACAAAGTGAAAAATAAAATTTTCCAACTTATTCTAATTTTCGTGCTGTAATGTAACGCTTGCAAAGGCTTTTCAATACCCATATCCATCTTAATTGTACCTCGTATTCTCGCAGTATCTCCACAGAGACTGCTTTACAAAAAAAAAAAAAATGAAGGGAGATTTCACTGCATTTATTGCATTATACCACAAATTTTTGGAAAGATAATAACAAAACAGTATTCGCAGTTAGCAACCAGCACTCTGTGCGAATGATTTGGGTCAGGAGAATTTCAGCGTTGAAGCAAAAAAATACATTAAAGAAGCAGCCATGATGACTATATTTTTTGAAAAACTTACTTAGATCAGTCAAAAAACTTTGATTATATACTTGTTACTGAACTACCTGCGCTAAAAAATGTTTTGGTGTATAAAAATATTTAAGTTAAAACCAGGATTTTATAACTCGCAGAGACGTCAAAATGGCGTACAAACAGAAGATTTTTTGCAGCCTGGCTTCACATATCACTTTATAACTAAAAAGATACCAAATTGTAGTTTTAATATATCTTGTTAAAATTATTTCTTCAAAAACTACATCTTTTTTACAAACTTTAAAACGGCACAGTTTAGATTGGTTTAACTTTGACCTTTCTTTGGTTTTTGACGTACTCGGTTTTGATTTCTCAGTATAACTTTCTGAATTTTGCTTTTTATTCCATTATTGATTAAGATTTCCTAGTATACCTATTTTACTACATTTTTAGATTTTCAGAAGACCTTTTTTCAAGTGAAGCAAAAAATTTGATAAACTGTCGAGAACAAGTAAAGTTAAAGGTCTTTAAATAACAACTATTTATAAAGAAAACCGCATCTTCTTCAATACTTTAAAACGGTCTAACTATGCCATCTTTTTGGTTTTTAAGGTATTATCTTTCCATTCCACAGTCGGGTACCGAGTTCTACCAGTCAAATTGTTCTATTGATGAAAACTGAGAAAAAAAAGATCAAAAATTATTGGTAATCAAACGTTGGAAAAAAATACACCAAATAAAAATTATTTTTTGTTGTTTTTTTCTTTATCTGTAAAACTTCTTTTTTTTTTTTTTTT